AGAGAGAGAGAGAGTTTCATATTAACTCTCTAAAAAGAGTCTTTATAGAGAGAATATATATAGACACTTGTTATGAAGGTGATGATGTGGACACTACAATCCTTTAAATATTTATTTAAATAATTAAAATATAAAAAATTGGTAAGGGCACTATAATCCTTTTTTGTGTCGAGGGGACTAAATCTGTGATAAATAAATACCACATGTACGGTCCGAGTGAAAAAAACAAAGATGTGGATGAAACGGGCAAATTGCCCCAAACTAGAGAGATGATTCGTGTAATTTATCCAATATTTAATGACGTGGGTGGAGAAATGTAAGCTCAATGATATATGTGATTTTTAAAATGTATTAGAGACTTGTAAGCTCAATTCTGCTACGAATTCGTTGATGTTCTTGTCTGAGCTTCCACCTTCTTCGATAGCTTCTATCGCAAAATCCCTCCATTTGGTTGCGTTTTTCCTGATCTCGATGCTTTTCTCTCCTTCCATGACTTGCCTTATGCACGCATCCAACACTCGTCTGGTCACAATCCCATTAACATCTTGCTTAGCCCGAACTCCCACACCCCAAACATCCTCCACATACTTGGCATTTGTGGTCTGATCGGACCATTGTGGCATTGCAACCATCGGCACACCCAAACCAATTGCTTCAAGAACGGAGTTGAGCCCACAATGTGTAACAAAGCATCCTATTGACTCATGAGCCAATACTTCCAATTGAGGACACCATGGCACGACTAACCCTTTCTTTGACATGCCATCGACAAACTCTTGCGGGATATTGTCCTTTAAAGAAGACTTAACCACCCACAAGAAGCTAAAACCACCATCGCTCAAACTACATGTTATTTCTTTCATTTGCTCAGATCCAGGCTGCATCAAGCTCCCAAATGATAAGTAAACAACCGATCTTTTCGGCTTCTTGTTTAGCCAGTTCATGCATTCAACCCGTTTTGGTTTGAACATATTCACTCCATACTCTCGATCATCTAACAATCGTTTGTCAAGGTACATTGATGGAAGCGTTGGGCCTATCGTCCTCACACGCCACAACTTCCCCATCCAATTGACCACCTATGCATGTTACAATCAAAGAATTATGATTTTGAGCATCAGATAAATCCTTGATGATCAGTAAATATAGTTTCAAGAAAAATCATAACCTCTTCCTCTAATTTGTAAAATGAGTTGATCAACACCCAGTCTGCTTGATCGATGTTGGTAAATTGACTAAAAACTAGATCAGAAACAGCAGGAAACAAGTCAAATTTGTGCACGAATGAAGGAGTTTCCCAGTTTTCAAGCGGTGGTAATCCAGGAAGTGAGACTAATGAATCCGAATCCGACAATGGGATTTGAAGAAGGCTTCTGTTGACATGATAGTAAATATTATTGACAGCACAAGTTTGAGTGAAGAAGACGACTCCCATGATCTTGAATTGCTTGGAGACATCAAGAGCCCAAGGCAAAAACCCATCATAAACAATGGCGTTGACACCCCCTAGTTTTTGAACAAGATCCGCTAGGGACTTTGGGCCTACTTCACGAAGCTTTGGGAAGTAAACATCTGGGGACACAAATTGATCAGGGCCATTGTCATCAAACCCATCAGAGAATGTCTCGAAGGTGATGAGTGTGGTGTTAAGGTCCATATGGACGTTTTTGGAGAAGGAAAATGTTGTTGCAAATGTTGTTTTGATGCCTTTTGCAACCAAGCGTTTGCAGAATTGGAGCATGGGGTTAATGTGGCCTTGTGCAGGGTAAGAGAGCACCAAAACGTGAGGCTGTTTTTGTGATGAACTCATCTTGTTAGTGTCGAAACTAAATGCTTGGTTGAAACGTGTCTAAAATAAGATAGAGGTCTTGCATTTGAATCATATGGTTATACTTATATATCGGCTAATTAATTACTAAAACGATCCCAAATACGCTAAATGCCATAACAAACATGGGAAAATATGATATTATTAATATGTATCTAGAGACGATCAATATTCAATATGAATATGAATGAAACATACCGTTTATCTTGTAAGCACGATAAGAACGATGTATCATTGTTTACTTTGGTGAGCATTTAAAATAGTAAATTCCGCCATGATTTTTATAATTATATCCATACATTTGACGTCTTAATAAACATTAATCTTAATGTTTTATTTTAGGATATTATTATCTTTAATGAATATGTAACTTTACAGCACCAACTTTTTTTCTATAAGTGTTGATTTTTTAACATCATTTTTTTTCTAACTTCAACCTTATATTAATCGGCTTTGATTCAAAAGTGCATCTTTATATTTACACACCAATACAGCTTCTAGCTTAAACAGAGTCTATAAAAGTTTTACACTAATAAAAACATACCTAAAATACAATTTAATCAGATTAAATCCAAAACACTTGTGAACTAATATCACTAATAAAAAGTTGACACTTGATTTTCTATCAAAGGTCAAACTCAAAACGGACACCATAATCTGTAAACATATGTATCTATATATTTTCAACAACAACAACAAACTAACTAACAAATTAATTACATATAAATCATACCTTATCTTCAAAACTCCTTCTGTACACCACCAGCAACAATAAGTTCAATATGACCACCATCACCACTATCACTCGGCATCATCAACACCTCATCATCCGCTGAAAAATTATACCGCGCACCAATCGCCCGTAACAACTGATACACTTCAAACATCGAGGGCCTCTCCTTATGAGCCGGGACCACACAATTACACGCCACTTTCAAAAACTGGAAAACCTCACTTTCATTTCTTTTTTCAACCAACGACTTATCAATCGAGTCCTGAAGTCTCCCTTCAGACGATAACTCAATAACCCATTCAGCCAAACTCCCCTTAAAAGTTTCTGGAGCTTTACTGATATGTGTCGGTCTTTCACCAGTCACCAATTCCAAAAGGACAACCCCAAAACTATACACATCGCCTTTTGGGGTGGCCACGAGGGTACGCGCGTATTCGGGGGCCACATATCCCAAATCGCCGAATTCCCCGTTTACAAAAGTACTCAAATGCGTATCTACTGGATTCATGAGCCTTGCGAGCCCAAAATCAGAGATTCTGGGTTCGAGGTCGGAATCCAGTAGAATGCATTTTGAACTTATGTTACGGTGAAGGATACGCGGGTTGCAGTTATGGTGGAGCCATGCTAACCCTTTGGCTATTCCGATTCCGATTTTTAGCCTCGAAGGCCAATCGAGGGGTTTTGTGTCATTTTCCAATAGATGGAGTTTGTCGTGGAGGTTACCGTTTGCCATGTATTTGTAGACTAAAAGGCGTTCTTTTTTCGCGACACAAAACCCTAAAAGTGAAACTAAGTTTCGGTGTTTGACTTTTCCGAGGGTTGACATTTCGGATGCGAATTCCTTTTCGGAATGTTGAGTGTCTTGTAATCTTTTGATCATAAGTAAACTGCCATCTTCGAATTCTGCTTTGTATAAACACCCGGTTCTTCCTGACCCGATGATATTATCTTTGCTAAAACTGTTGGTGGCTTTCATTAGATCGCTCAATCGCATCTTGGAAACCGGGTTTTCAAACATGGAAAGCTGCAATGACATCAAAAACTGTCAGATTGATTCACCAAACATGACAGAATAGAGATAAAAAGGATTAAAATTATATCTTACCTTGATGGTTTTAGCTCCTTTAATACTCTTGGCCCATTTATTTCCATCTGGATCATCATCTTTCCTTTTCCTAACAACCTTACGCATAAAGAACATCATTCCAAAAACTACAATTAACGCAGCAATAGTGGCCCCACCAACAGCGGCCCCCACAATGACACCCGTATTGGATTTTTTAACAGTTCCTGGACAAGGGGACAAAACAGGACGCCCACATAACCCTGGATTACCCGTGTAGCTTGCTTCTGTACCATTTTGGAAATATGGAACTTGACCAGATAATTGATTGTTAACAACACTAAACTCTTTGAGGCGATTAAGGTTACGTAATTCTAAAGGAATCTGACCCGAAAACCGGTTGTTACCGAGTCTGAGAACATTAAGATAAGAACAGTTTGCAAAGCTTGCAGGGATTTCCCCTGAGAAATTGTTTGAAGATAGATCGAGAGTTGTCACAAACCCTAGAATTTTTGTCATGTTGGTTGGGAGATTTCCAAAAAAGTTGTTGCTAGAAAGATCTAATCCTGTCATTGAGGTACAATTCTGGAGTGCAAGAGGTAATGTGCCCTTGAGTCCCATGTCTGGGAGTTTTATATTTAGAACCTTGTTTTCATCAGGATGCCAGCATTCGATGCCTGCAAACTTGCAGATGTATCCTTCGGTATTGTTATTAAAATCCCATGTAGTTAAGACGTTTTCTGGATCTTGAATTGAAGCTTTAAAGGCTTTAAGGCAATCAATATCACTCTGGACAGCATTGGTACATGTGACACACAAAAGAATGAAGACACAAGTGGTAATTATTGGTATGTTACTTGGTGCCATTGAAGATTTTAAGTGTGGCACATATCAAACTCTAGTAATAGCCAAGAAAACCTTTTTTTTTTCAAGAACCAAACCTGCAAAAGATAGCAAAACAAACAACCCATATTCAGTGACATGTGTAGATGGTATGACATGTTTATGTCATATAGTATTGAGTTAACTCATTTTTGTAATCTGAAAACAAGTTACTGTCACCATACAGTCAAAGAATAAAACAACTTATCTCAGAATTCAGACACTGAGCATGTTGGATATGAGTTTTAAAGTAAGTATTGCGACCTAAAAAATTATAATTAGCTATTAAAGCAGCATATAGTATTATAGCTAGGGATCATTATGAAATCTTTTACTCAGTTTTCTTGCTGCAACTCTCATCTAAAGAGGGTTATGGCTGTGGGAACTGAGAATGAATGATTACGTGAAATTGAAAAATAAGGATATAAGATAATGACTAGAAGATAAGAATAAGATAATCAGCTCTAATGTAACAGCCCCTATCTAGATAGTGTTTTAGGATGTGTTTATGTCATTTAAGATTGTATAAAGAACTAATAAATAAAGTAACAAAAGGAATTTCATTGCCAAAAAGGACAGCGTTATGGGAAGTGATAAACAAGAGTGTCTGAACACTAAAACTTCCAAAAATAGGCAACCAAACACCTAATTCTGATTATTTTGACCCAAATAAAGATCAGAACTTTAACGCGCATACAAACACCCCGTAATTTTATGTTCAAATTAGAATTCACGAATTTCAGTTATCCAATTGAGATATAACAAACCCTAATTGAATATTTCGTGGATCCAAATGATTGAATCATAAAATTCGGCAACAGTGAACAAAATTAAGCATCAGGTACTCCGAAAATAAGAAACCCAGAAGCAATTCCACCACTACAACAAATAATTTACGTAAATTTGAAGTTATACTACAACAAAAGGGAATTCTGAAGATGAAGAACGTACAGTGGAGGAGTGAGGATCTTCAGGAGGAAGGTGCCGCTACGTATACTGATAAGAAAGAAGAAGAAATTTTGGATGGATATAAGAGAAAATCGTTGGCAATCTAGTCAAAGATCAAGATTTCTATAGCAGATTCAAGCGACGACTGGACCGAAAGCTGCAGCCACTAATAAATGGAATGATTGACTAGCAGTTCTTGACTGAGTAAAACGAAAGCCGTGTGAAGTCATGACTTTTAGGAAAGTTTTATTGTTTTTTGTGTGGAATTTGGACTTGGAAGAAAATGATATTCCAGACCATTTTGTATTCTATATGCCCCCAATTCGCACTCACCCACACTTTTTACTATTTCTCCCCTCTTTATTTTTAAGCGGTGAATTATTTTTTTTTTAGAGAAAATGACACTGCACATCAAAGTTTTGACAATTATCTAATTTGGTCACTAAAGTTTTTTTTAAGTACATTAGACCACTAAACTCCATGTTTACCTCCTAATTACACCATTTTGCAAAAATTAGACGGTTTCACCAGTTACCTTTGCTTAGTTGGGTTTTTTTTTAATATTTTAAAAATAAAAAATCAAATATTCCAATGTTTCATTAATTATTAGTTTTTACTTTTATTTTTTGGGAACTTGTTAATCCACATCAGGAGCACGAAACAGACAAAATCTCTCTCGATAACCTTTTATTTTCGTTTACCTTCTTCATTGTTATCTGCTTCACCGCCTTCTGCAATCAATCGAAGGGAAGATTGATTAACGGTGGGGAAGATGCCAGCGAACCACCACTCAACACTGTCGTCACCACCGAAATACCGTCGCCGGTGCCTTCGCTTCAGTAAAGGAACCCCTTTTCGTTTGTTTATCCAATCTACCCCTCCTGAAATTCCTCCGATTCCCTTAAAACCTTCCAATTTTTCTGCAATTCCAGAGGCCGAAAGTGAGAACAGGTTTCTGGGTTTTTGAAGATGGAAGCATACCGAAGAGGGTTCTGAAAGATTTCCCCAAACCCAATCAAAAAGTTCAATCTTTCCGTTAGATTTTTTTTGGGTTTTGTGCGGATGGTAGTTTGTTATGATGGGTTTGTTTCAATTTTGAGAATTTTACGGAAATTCAATTGAAGATCGTTCATTTGGGATTTCATATGCTCTACAGTGAGAAAAGTTTCGAATTTTCACATTTCGACTAGATTTTGACGATTGATTTTTCGTCGGTTGACGCAAGAACACGATGTTGTGTAGGATGATTCCTAGAAAAAAGAAAACAGGGACTGTTCCTGTACATTTAAACGTATACGATCTCACTCCGATCAGTGGTTATGCTTATTGGGTTGGACTTGGTGTTTATCATTCTGGTGTTCAAGGTTTGTGTTCTTCAAATTCTCTTCATATCTCTCAATTAATTTATCCCTTTCATCTAATTGCTCAAAAGATTACAATAATAAACACAAATTGTCCTGTTTTTTCAATACAGAGTAAATTGCAAGACTTTGAAGTCTCAATTCCACTATGCTATGTGCTATCAATTCTTCTACTGTTACGAAACATCTGGTTCTTCATTTTGACTTGCTAGACAATGTTTTTAGCATCAAAATACGATGATCTTGTAAGAAATTTTAGAATGTGTTTTCGACGAGGGCTGTTGTTCCACACTACCAAAAATTCACCGGGGAAGAATGCTTGTTCATCGTTTTCTGAAGATCAATCTCGTGGATGACACATTGGAATATGTGATTTTTTAATCTTTAAAATATTAAAAAAAAAGCCAACTAAGCAAAGGTAACCGGTGAAACCGGCTAATTTTTTGCAAAATGGTGTAATTAGAAGGTAAACATGGATTTTAGTGGTCTAATGTACTAAAAAAAATTTAGTGACTAAATTAGATAATTGTCAAAACTTTGATGAGTGTCATTTTCCCTTATTTTTATGTAAATTTTTATGTAAGTGATGTGAAATAACTGTATACTTATTCATAAATCATAGTAACAATAGATTTTAACTTTTACAACTATACTACAAGTAATATATAATCTCAACCTTATAGATTGTTATCATGTCATCTGTCGTATATAAGAGCTGTTATTATTGTACTTCAAGAAAAAAAAGTCATCTTGTCACAGTTGTAAAAACAAGCAAACACCCCATCTCTCTAAGACAGGAGGATGTGAGTGGAAAACTCTCGTTACTTTTTGTGGGCCACATCACCATTTTTCTTCATTTTCTTTCCCTCACCTAAACCCAATGAACGGGGGAAGCTTCCCTCACTACTTTTTCTAAAAAAAATAAAATTAACTAATTAAGGGGTTTTCTATAAGTATTCCAATTCCTTTTCCAATTCCACCCCCTTGATTTGATTTTTTTGTCTTTTGTTGTTTTTTGTTTTGTTTTTTTCCTATTTTGTTTTTTTGTTGTTTTTAATTATTATTATTATTATAAATTTCGAACAAAATTTTATAATTCAGACGACGTTATAAAATTCGAGCGGCTATATAAAATCGGGTTTTAATTATTTTTATTATATATTATTATTATTATTATTATTATTATAAATTTCGAACAACATTTTATATATCGGATGACATTATAAATTCG